GGAAGAAAAGGGGAGGGTACCACCCAGGAGAGTCCACACGTCAACTAAATCAGTCCTGACTTCCACAAGCCCTGAGAGACGAACTGCCCCACTGTCTCCACCTCACTCGTCTTGAGACCCGTCAGTTTTCCCCAGGGCTTGCTAAATAGTCTTCCTCAGCCTTCACTTCCCTTCCCCTCAGTGTATAATCCTACAGCTACGACTGAAGGAAGATTCTTTCTTGGTTCCAGACTTTCCAAGGACAGAGAGTGTGGGGAGCAACAGAGAAAAGCAGAGAACCCATGAGTGTAGCTGGCAACAGACTAATCCTGAGGACAGAGCCGCAGACAGAATCTCCTCCTGCCATATCACTTCTTCAGGTAAGAGTGGCTCGAAGACTTCCCTGGTGGTACGATGGATGGGAATCCACCTGCCAAAAAGCAGGGGACGTGAGTTTGATCTCTGGTCCGGGAACAGCCCATGTGCCGCGGAGCAACTAAGTCCATGCGCCACAGCTCCTACTAAGCCCAAGTGCCCCGGAGCCTGTGCTCCACAACAAAAGGAGCCCCTGCTTGCTGTAACTAGATAAAGCTCGTGTACGAAAACGAAGACTCAGCACGACCAAAAATTAAAAAGAAAAAAGAATCTGGCTAAGTTGGCTGACACTCAGAGTGCTGAAGATGGACCTTACAAAATGAGGCGATTAAACCACGGTCCCCCACCAGCTGTAATATTTTAACATTCTAGAATGCTGTTCTCTCCATGTCCTATGGCTCGGAGTTTGTCATTTACTGTAGGGTTGCCAAATTCAACAAATAAAAACACAGAACACCCAGTTAGATTAGACTTACAGGTAAATGATGATTATTTTTAGTGTAAGTATATCCCATGCAATACTTGGGATATAATTAGAAAATTCTTTATTGTTTATCTGAAAATTTGACTTGGAGTCTTACATTTTATCTGGAAACCATAACTTAGTGGATAAATCATAAAGAATCATTCATATAGGCCACCACTTACTGAGCACTGACCTGACTAGGACCTCAGATATGTAAGACTTATCTTATATGATTCTAACAGCCTTATGAAGGAGGTAAATACAGAGACTTCTAGAAGTGAAGCCCTGAGTTGGAGAGCAGTGAATGCTAGGATAGAAGTCAAGGTCTGACTGACTACATGCAATTTACAGGCTATTACTTACAAATTATTGCAGTGTTGAAAATGCATCAAACAGTTTTTGAATAATATGCACAGAACTCTATTTGTCTTTGAGGAGGAAAATTTTGAATCCAGAGGTGATAGAGAGCATTATTTTTCACTGCTTTTATCTGTACTGTTTGGATTTTTTTTAAAACAATGTACATGCATCACATACATTATTTTCATTTAAATAAAATTAACCCCCAAAGATTGTTACAATATACAACTTTGATAAATAGACCTCTATCAACCTTAGTACTTTTTCAATAGTAGTAGCAATACCTATTATTACAAATATGCTGACTTTACTTCTTTTTTGTTGGAGGTGGATTTCTGCTTCAGAGCACAGTTCTCAGTTGCTCTCAGACTGTCAACAAAGTCTCCCTCTGTCATTCAAGAACCATTGCCAACCCATGGCTGATTCATGTCGATGTATGACAAAAACCACCACAATATTGCAAAGTAATTATCCTCCAATCAAAATTAATTAATTTAAAAAAAAAAGAACCCTAGCCAGTTACATAAGGAGGAAATGCCTGTGGAGCCTGAGATGTAGGGTTTCCCAGGAGCTCCACTGTCTGCGTTTCTCCCTAAGGCAGTAAGCAGATCTTACTTGGAAGAATAACTTACCCCAGGAGTGCACCAAGGCAAAGGCAGGAAGCCCCTCCCCTGCAACCCAGGCCCACTGGGCAGAGCCTTTGGTCTTCCACTACTGACTCAAGGGGCTCCCATCAGTGGTATCAAATGTCAGATGTCATCCCCCCAGTCCTAATGGCCACAGTACCCAGTGGCTTCAGCTCTACATTTTTAAAGAGGAAAAGATAGGTCCGTGAAAAAGGAAGTTATAGTGACAAAGTTTTCTCCTAAGTGGACTTCAGTCCCTCATTGCTAGTTATCTCAGACATACATTTCTGTAGTTGGAGAAGAAATACTCACTTTTTTGAAAATTCTCTGCTTGCAACACTTACCTCCTAATTGGTAAGGGTTGAATTGAATTGAACCCTTCAATTGAAAAGAATTGAAGCCCCACTTCACTTCTGAAAAACCAGGTTGTCAAGATTACGAGGGGCCATGGATAAACGAAAATGAGCATGCTTTAAGGCACTTAGGTAGGTGTTCCTTGGAGCATAGTCTGTGATGCCTTTGCATCCGCCGCACACAATTAGCAGCTGCTGCTCCTGCCTGCACGGGCGGGAGGCAGGCTCTCAATGCTCCAGGCGCTTGCAAATACCAGCCACAGAGGAGGCGCCACAAGAGAGCTTCCATCAGAGTTAATTGATAAAAATTAAATCCCATTAATAAAAAAGGGAATAGTCAATGCCCACCAAAGTACCAAATGGCAAAATGACAGTGAGCTCTTCATGTGTATCAGAGTTTAGAATACAAAGTGTGCAGGGAAGAAAAAGGGAGAAAGTTAGTGCCTTCTCCAAGGACAATGGAAATTGTGTGAAAAGCAGAGATATATGGACCAGACTGCTCTCCGTTAGCATCCAGGCCAGTCTCACAATGTCAGAAGTGCCATTCAGGTTACAGGAGACCTGGTTTCTCTCCCAGTTCTGCCATCGCCTCGCTGGGAGTACTGGGATTGAGAAGAGGAAAGGAACTCATAGTGTGTTAGTCGCTCGGTCGTGTACGACTCTTTGTGACCCCCGTGGACAGCCTGCCAGGCTCCTCTGCCCATGGGATTTCCCAGGAAAGAACACCGGCGTGGGTTGCCATTTCCTTCTCCAGGGGGTCTTCCTGACCCAGGGATGGAGCCAGGTTCTCTTGCACTGCAGGTGGATTCTTTACCATCTGAGCCATCAGGGATATGTAAATTTGTGATTCTCCCAAGTCCAGGCCTCCTCATCCTGCTTTATGGTTTTCATAGGAATTGCCATCAGCCAGCATATTACATGTTCACTTGTCACCTGTCTGTCTCTCCAGGCACTGTTAAGCCCCAGCAGAATAAAAGCTTTCTTTAGCTTTCTTCAGAATCCCCAACTGCTAGCACACAGTGGTGGTGGTTTAGTCGTTAAGTTGGGTCCCATGGACAGTAGCCTGCCAGGTTCCTCTGTCCAAGGGATTCTCCAGGCAGGAATACTGGAGTGGGTTGCCATTCCTTCTCCAGAGGATCTTCCCAACCCAGGGGTTGAACCTGGGTCTCCTGCATTGCAGGCAAATTCTTTACTGACTGAGCTATGAGGGAAGCCCACACAGTAGGTCATCATAAATGCATGCTGACTAAACGGACTCATCCTTTCATTCCCTGAGCACTCGTCAGGCACCTGGGGATTCTGCTGATTGATTGGCATGCAACTGATGAATAAATAAACAGAATATGTTATCCTTATACAACAGAATATTTTTCATCCATCCACAACATGGATGAACCTAGAGAACATTATGCAAAGTGAAAGAAGACAGATACCAAAAGCCAGATACTGTGTGCTCCATTTAAAATGAATGGTTTACTCAAGGCTGGTGCACTGGGATGAGCCAGAGGGATGGGATAGGGAGGGAGGTGGAAGGGGTGGTTCAGGATGGGGAACACATGTACACCCATGGCTGATTCATGTCAATGTATGGCAAAACCACTACAATATTGTAAAGTAATTAGCCTCCAATTAAAATAAATAAAGTTTAAAAATAAAAATAAAATGAATGGTTCAGAATAAGCAAATTCATATAGACACAATTAGTGGTTGCCAGGGGCTGGGCAGTTAGCGGCTTGTGAGAATGGCAGGTGATAGCTGAAGATGATACAGGGTTTCTTTTTAAGCTGATGAAAATATTCTAAAATCGATTGTGGTAATAGTTTCATACATCTATGAACAGACTAAAGGTTATTGAATTTACATTTTAAATGAATGAATTGTATAGTAAGTGTATTATGTATCAATAAAGCTATTATAAAAATACTAAAGCTGACCTCATCATCTCACCAAAATCCATACTCCTGCTTTTATTTGTACCTCACCTCCCGTTAAATTGCCTTTTCCAGAAAAAAAACATACTAATAGAAACATGTGTAAGAATGGCTGAGTCCCTTTGTTGTTCACCTGAAACTACCACAACATTGTTAATCGGCTATACTCCAATACAAAATGTTTTGGGAGTTTAAAAAAGTTTTTTAAATAAGGAATACTAATGAGCACATAGTTCTTCAAACTATGCTTTTCTAGTTATCATTTTTAAGGTGGTTTTAGTATTTTAAAGTCTTTATTGAATTTGTTACAATATTGCTTCTGTTTCATGTTTTGGTTTTTTGACCACGAGGCATGTGGAATCTCAGCTCCCTGACCAGGGATCAAACTTGCATCCCCTGCATTGGAAGGCGCAGTCTTAACCACTGGGCCTCCAGGGAAGTCCACCTCCTATTTTTCTATCTCAATCCTCATGAATTATGAGGCAGGCTCACCTGGGGTTCATTGCTTCAGATGAGTCCCTGTGCTCTCACCATCGGGGGCTGGACTAACCTCTTCCATGGGAGGATAAAGTGTTCACACCTGTGTTCATTGTCACAGAAGGAAATGCACAATATGAGATGTAATGTTCTTGGAAATCCAGGGTTTCCTAGCCAGAGAAGGCATAATTGTAGCAAGCAGAAAGTTTACTTTGATTTTTAACCCACTTGGTTAAAAATCCCCACCTGATTTTTAACCCACTTAGTGAGGAAGTGATGAAATGTTGTCAAATGGCCAGCTAAGTTTTTCAAAAGCAGTAAAATAAAACTATCACATCTGTTATTTTTAAAACTGCAGAGTGATTCTTTTTTTTTTTTTATCCAAAACTTGTTTTTTGGGATGGTTTCCCGTTCATCTTGATACAGGGAGATTTTAATGCTGCTTCCGTCTGAAAGAGCATCCTTCTGTAAGCCTTGCTTTTCCTCCTGTAGGCTGGCCGAGGACAGGAGAGCAGCCAGCACATAAAAGTACTATTTGTGCATGGCTAAGGACGGTGGTGATTTTATAGCATCCTGGGCATTTTACATCCACGAAATAGGAATTGGGGCTCTGCACCAGGCGCTTCTTCTTGTGTTTCCTCTTCTCTTCTTCTGGAGAGGGATGAAGAAGATCCTTTGCGAGAGGCATGTTCTCGTGAGGAGGTCGTCACCGCCGGAAAGGCAGAGTGATTCTTAAACTCAAACCCCTGCTAGACTTTCCTATTCTCTGTCCTCTTCAGTCCCTCCACAATACTTTTAAATATCTACCCAGGTTCCAGACAATCTAGAACAACAGCTTTGCATCACCCCTTTTCCTTACTCTCTGAGCACGCATTTACAGACATGGGTTGACTTTGTCTCTCCCTAAGAGGACAAGAAGAGGGCCCATCAGAGCCCCAAGCACTCTGAACTCCAAGAGAGGATCTCCCGGTCAAAACGCTAAAAGCAGCAGGCTTGCATCCCATTAAACAATAGCTCTGGAAGTCTCCTTGGAAAGACAAAGAAAGGAAATGTTGTACAATAGAAACATAGATTTATAACAAGAGTATTCAGCTTTACTGACTTGCAGAAAGGCACAGTCTCTAGAATCAAAAGGAAAAAAGCTATTTTATTTTTCTCCTATTTTTGAGGGGAAAAAAATAACTTATCTCCTTTTTCCAAAGGCATTGAAAGTAATTAAGCATAAAAACATCCAGGAAACATCAGCTCTGAAAGATTCCCACTGCTCACATGGTAGGATCGAAACAACAGATCAGGTCACACCTGGGGCTGTGGAGTTCCAGAACACAGCGATTGTGTCTTAGCACAAGCATCCTGAGGATCCACTGTGTGCTCGGCTCTGGGCTGGGTGCTGGAGACCCTGTGCATGCATGCTCAGTCACTTCAGCTGTGTTCAACTCTCGGTGACCTCATGGACTGTACGCACCAGGCTCCTCTGTCCATGGAATTCTTCCCACAAGATACTGGAGTGGGTTGCCATTTCCTCCCTCAGGGGATCTTCCCCACTCAGGGATCGAGCCTACGTCTCCTCTGTCTCCTGCACTGGCAGGCAGGTTCTTTACCACTGAACCACCTGGAAAGCCCACTGGAGACCCCGCATCCTGAGAACTCTATCTGCCTCACTCACATTCATGCAAATGCTAAGCTGGTTCATGATGTATCTATGACATGGCATGAGAGCAGGGTTTCTCAGCCTCACCATTACTGACACCTTGGGCTGGATCATTCTCTGTTACGAGGGGGTGCCCTATGAACTGGAGGATGTTCAACAACATCCTTGGCCCTACCCTCTAGGCTCCAGCAACACCTTCCAGAGGGCAAGTGGGGCTCCATCAAAGTTGCTTCTGGCTGATTTGCAGAGAGAACAGCAAAGAAAGCAGCATTATGCTGAAGAGTTAGGGGAAAGTAAGGTGATTTTAAGAAGCTACTGAGGGTGGTTTGGGCAGGTGTCTTATTGGTAAGAGCATCTAAGTAGTGCAAAGTCTAACTGGCCCAATTTCCACTCAGTGAGAGTCTGGAGCCAGAAAGACAGGGACTCTTCCCATCTGTGGGACTTGGGCTAGAGAACTTATTAAGATTTCCTGTGATTCCAGGACTCCCCTGGTGGCTCAGACAGTAAAGTGTCTGCCTACAATGCGGGAGACCTGGGTTCAATCCCTGGGTCAGGAAGATCCCATGGAGAAGGAAATGGCAACCCACTCCAGTACTCTTGCCTGGAAAATCCCATGGATGGAGGAGCCTGGTAGTCTACAGCCCATAGGGTCGCAAAGAGTCAGACACGACTGAGCAACTTCACTTTCTTTTCTTCCAATTCCAAAATTGTATAACATGATCCTTTCCACCCAACCCAAACCAAGTTGTCAGACTACTGCAGGCTGGGAGGAGCCAGGTTCAAGATACATGGCCATCTCTGCCTGTGTGGAGTCAGAAGTGGGTACAAAAGGAGTGAGAACTTTGAAGAATGGGTTGGACAGCATCACCGACTCAATGGACATGAGTTTGAGCAAACTCCAGGAGATAGTGAAGGGCAGGAAAGCCTGGTGCGCTGCAGTCCATGGAGTCACAGAGTCAGACACGACTTGCAATGAAACTACAACAACCCCACTCCCCACATGTGCAATGCCCGGAGCCTCATAACATCTAAGACCGGCCCAGCTACCAGAGGAAGAACATCACAGTATGTGCAGTTTTACATTCAGTGCCTTGAATCTTTTCTTTACAACTTAAATGAAATGAACCAAAGGAGGGGGAGGGATCCAGGCATTAAGCTGGCTCAGATGGTAAAGTGTCTGCCTACAATGCGTGAGACCCGGGTTCCATCCCTGGGTTGGGAAGATCTCTTGGAGAAGGGCATGGCAACCCACTCCAGTATTCTTGCCTGGAGAATCCCATGGACAGAGGAGCCTGGTGGGCTACAGTCTATGGGGTCGCAAAGAGTCGAACACGACTGAATGACTTCACTTCACTCAAAGGAAATGGATAAGGAGCGAGGTTAAGTAGTGGGTTGGATGGCATCACTGACGCGATAGACATGAGTTTGAGTAAGCTCTGGGAGTTGGTGATGGACAGGGAAGCCTGGTGTGCTGCAGTCCAGAGGGTCACAAAGAGTCGGACACGACTGAGTGACTGAACTGAACAAGTACTGGCTCTGCTTTTCCCAAAACGGCCTCCCAGAGCAAGGGAGAGGGGCTGAACAACCTGTCCATGCACAAAGGCGCACTGTATTAGAAGGGCGGTTTAAGCCATTCTTATGAACACGCAAGAGATCCACATCTCCGATCTCCAGGGTAGTGAAACAAGGAGGTGAATGATAACAGCCTAATTTAGCCAGCTCAGTGAATAAATAATCATTGCAAATGAAGCAGTCATACCAGGTAATTAAATTAATTTGTCTCGCAGACATGATTCACCAACTCTCCACTGACAAGAGTTGCCTTCTTAGATATTAACTTTTACTCTTGGATCTTCTTTGGATGTTGAAATTACTTCTCAGCTTCTTATTCTCAGGTAGCCAAAATGAATATTTATTTCTCCAATGATTAATCATTCAGCAAATATCAGAGCTCCTAAGATATGTTGGGCTTAGAAACATGATAAAAAAATAATAAATTTAAAAACTTAAAATTAAAAAAAAAAGAAACATGATAAAAAAAAAAAAAAAAGACCCAGGTCCTTATCCTCATGCAATTGCATGCCTAGCAAAAAAGACTGATGTTAAATAACCACAAAGGTGTTGGGTACAGTGATGTAAAAAACAGGCCGCTATGGGTTCAGTCTTTGGAGAATAACTTCCTTTTCTTTTAAACAGAAACATAGGACCTCACGTTCATTGGCTGGACCTCTGCTGAGAGGGGGTTCAATAGTTCATGGCAGATAATCCATTCCAGGAGAGTAAGAGGGTCACTCAGAAAGAGTATGAAGAACTATAGACTAAATGTCCATCCTTCATCCTGTGTTGCCAGACCCACCAGGTCCAATGGGTGAAATGTGGAGACCAGTTCCATCCTATTTCTTCACACCTTCCCACTGACTCTTTGAATGTTCGAATTAAAATTGTAACAGCTTTAAAGTTGAGGAGTGGGAAGGAGGAGAGAAGAATCAGGAATGAAGGTTATTTCTATAAATTATAGTTTTAATATTACTCCTATACAGCATCTCAAAGATCTAACTTACATGAAGATCGGGACAAAATTAAAAGAAAAATGATCTCCTGAAATAATCATCTTTAAAAAAAATTTTTTTTAAAGACCTAAGGCTTAAGAATGCCATACTTAGATTTTTCCATGGTCTGGAAAAAAAAAGGCACACTCAACTAACAGCAAAACATGAGCCCCTGAAAAAGTCAGGGCTGCTGATTGCCAGGCTGACAATTACAAGACACAATGTTTTCCAGGGTGTGGGTCCCTGAACATGTGTGTCTACTCATCAATGCTACCCTTTATATCAAAGACCACTTTCATAAGACAAGGCACTCAGTATCCTTTATCAAACTGATGATTACTTGTAAGTTATGGTATATTTTTTGCAGCTGTGAAGAGGTATTTGGGTTGAAAATTCAGGATTTAAAGCATGCTGATCCAGGAAACAGACATTATGAACAGCAGTATATAGCCAGCTCTATGTCCTAAGATTTTAGGAACAGTTGGTCTAAACTTACTGGTCAGCGAGGAGTAGCTGATTCATTTTTGGGGGGGCATTAACCCAATTTAGAAACCACACCAAGCCTGGAAAAATAATTCTCCAGTACATTAAACAGTCTCCTGGATCTACTCAAGTGCACTTATTCACATTTAGGGTATCATATTGCCCATTTTTGTCATTGCAATATACCAGCCAGATTTTTTAAATGACATTGTGAAAATGGAAAGCATTTTTTAAGGGAAATATCAAAAATACCTCTCCAAGGGGGACTTAACAGTTCTTCTCACCACTTTAAGTCTGGCTGAAACTAAACTCTGAAACTCAGCTCTCCAAGGATGGCCCCCTGAGGCCTCCCAGACCCCAATCCAGAGACCCAGGGTGTACATCCCTCTCCCGAGTTTTGCAGCAGCACTGAAGGGCCTTCACACATTCATTCTCTCTCTCTCTTTCAGAAATCTTCTCCATCTCTAGCTTCCCAAGTGGCACGACTGGTAAAGAATCCACCGGCCAATGCAGGGACGTGGGTTTGATCCCCGGGTCAGGAAGATCCCCTGGAGGAGGGCATGGCAACCCACTGCAGTATTCTTGCCTGGAGACTCCCACGGACAGAGGAGCCTGGCAGGCTGCAGTCCACAGCATCGCAGAGTCAGACACAGCTGAGCACGCAGCTTTTAAAATCTTCTTTGCTGCTGCTGCCTGGTTTTCTACTACTGCACCCTCCTTCTGTCCTTCCTATTATGAGTTATTTTCTCCACCCCGCTTTCTGCAGGAAGACACTCCCATGGAGCTCTGACCACGGCCTCTGCCATTCTCTGTCTCTGGGCTCTTTCCCTGTGCCCTCGCTAGTTCACTCACCCAGCCTCACCCCTCCCCTAGAGGCCCAGTGAGAGTTCTTCTCGCGGTCTCCCTAGCCTTTATTTCTCATTTATTTTTATTAGTTGGAGGCTAATTACTTTACAACCCAGCTCACTGCCTTCCCTCCAAAGAGCACCGCCAGGCTTCCCGGCGTCTGCCTCACCATCCTCCTGGATACAAAGCACAAGGGCCCACTTGGTCTTGGCTTCTCCCCTGAGATCCTCCTCCCATCGCACCCATCATAGCGGCCCACCCTTCTATTCCCACCGCCCTTGCACAAGCTGCCCAGAGCCACTGTGGCCCCAGCCTGGTCTCCTTCTCTTAACTGGTCTTCTTGTCATTCTCTAAGCCATCTCTGAATGGCTGCACTTAAAACTAGAAGGCTGACCCAAAGGGTAAGCCAGGATGCTGCTGCATTGTTTGAGGTTACTCGGGACTGCAAAATACCCCTTAGACACCCTACATGAGCCCCCATCACCTACTGAATAAACTCCCCCCTCTCTCCCTCAGAATTCAAGAACCTCCAAAATAAAGATTCCAGTCTCCCAGTCTTACCTCACATTATTCCCCTACTTTAAAGCTCTAGACTATATTATAAAATGGAATATCATAAAATGAAATGTTCAGTCTCTATTCGCTTTTCCCTTAATATACCTTCCCGAGTTTTCCTTTGCAGAGGCTATTTCTGGGCCAGGGCCACCCCACCATCACCCCCACCTCTTGAAAGTTCACACACTCCCCCAGGCTCAACTGCAAGCGTTCTCATCCATGAAGCCACCCCTGATCCTCCATCATTATGTGAGTGCCTTGAATCTCGTGCACCTGTTCTTTGCACTGAAGGGTTCTGTTTTTCCATCTTTCAGTCCCTCCTAGACAATCACGTCCTTGAGTGTGTCTTGGTTCTCCCTGTCTTCTGCAGTAGTTTCCTCGGGGTAAAGAGTTCAGCAAGCACTGTTCCACGGATACAAGATTCATTCAGAGGGGTTCTCTGGGACCAAAAATTCATAGAAAGCATTCAGATTTGCTAAAAGACTACATCTCATCACACACACACACACACACACACACACACACACAAACAGTAATTTTGTGAGCAGATGGACATGTGAACTCACTGGACTTTGATGATCACAACATCTGTGTCTATCAAAACATCGAGGTGCACATCTTAAATACACATATTAATAATTTTTATTTGTCAGCCATATCTTAACAATGGTGACTCTTAGCTACCAAAATCCTGGCTCTCCATCTTTACTGCCTCACCCCACCCCTACCCCCGCAGACTGATGCATCTCCAACAGAATCCCACCTCTGGGACCACCCAAGCTTCAAGAGAAGGGTTATCCAGGTCATAGCTCCTGGCCACACCCCAAAGCCAAAGCTACTTCAAGGTCACTTAGGTTCCAGCAGCCCCAGGGTCCCAAACTCTTTCTCCCAAATAAGGAAAGGAGGGCAGGAGAGAGGGAGGGAGGGAGAAGAAAGGAAGGGAGGGAGGGGGGAGGGAGGCAGAAGGAAGAAGGAAGGAAGGAAGGAGGAAGAAAGAAAGGAAGGAGGAGCTTCCTGGAGTCTGACGGCAGACTGATTCCCTGTACCCACCTGGAATGTCCAGTTCTGTTGTATTTGTCACGAATTCCTCCTCAGCCTTCAAGACCCAGCTCAAACATGACCATCTCTAAAGCACGGCCCATTCTTGTTCCAGGTCCTCCGGGTTAATAGTCAGAGGTCTGGCTAAAAATCCTCTACAGTACGTCTACCTCTAAACTCTCTGAGCGCATGAGCTAATCCACTTCCCGAGCACGTGAGCCAAAGTCATAAACACCCACTCCCCGTTGTGCTATCCCCAGACCTGAACTTGCTACTCTCCTCCGAGATCACAGGGGAAGGCAGGCAGCCTGGGCCCCCAGGCAAGGTCGTGGGGCTTCTAAAGAGGCCAGCCTAGTCTCCGATGGGCTCTCCCCTTCTCTGGAGGCACCACCCTGGGTGCCGAGGGGGCAGAGGAGGCAGGTTCTGGCAGAGCCTCAGTCCAGGCTGCGGCCACCCTGGAGGAAATGGTGCCGCAGTCAGGGTGAGCAGCCGAGGGCAGGAAACTCGTGCTTTGCTTTTCACTGATGATGGTACCAGACAGAATGGCAGGCAGAGGCAGGGGCCTGGGGCCACCCTAGGCCCATTTTCACCGCCCCCCATCACTTCTCTGCCCACCCATCACCCAGTCATCCCCATGCCACCTGTCAGGACCACCTCTTTCAGGAACTTCGCTGGTGGCCCTGGCTGAGCCCCAGCAGGCACCCAGATCAGAAGGCGCTAACAATCGATTGTTTTCCTGTCACCACAGAGACTCAACTGGTTTTCTGGAAACACCACAGACTTAATGAATCAGTTCTGTGGGCAGCAGGCTGTTGCGGTTCAGTAGCTCAGTTGTGTCTGACTCTTTGTGACCCCATGGACTGCAGTATCCCAGGCTTTCTTGTCCTTCACCATCTCCCAGAGTTTGCTCAAACTCAAGTCCATTGAGTCAGGGATGCCATCCAACCATCTCACCCTCTGTCACTCTCTTCTCCTCCTGTCCTCAATTTTTCCCAGCATCAAGGTCTTTTCCAATGAGTCAGCTCTTCACGGACTTCCCAGGTGGCGCTAGTGGTAAAGAACCCACCTGCTAATGCAGGAGACGTAAGAGACTCCGGTTCAATCCCTAGGCTGGGAAGATCCCCTGGAGGAAAAAATGGCAACCCACTCCAGTATTCTTGATTGGAGAATCCCATGGAAAAGGGAGCCTGGCAGCCTGCTCAATCCATAGGGTCAAAAAAAAAGAGTCAAGCATGACTGAAGCAACTTAACACGTATTCAGGTAACCAAAGTATTGGAGCTTCAGCCTCAGCATCAGTCCTTCCATTGAATATTCAAGGTTGGTTTCCTTTAGGATTCACTGGTTTGATCTCCTTGCTGTCCAGGGGATTCTCAAGAGTCTTCTCCAGGACCACAGTATGAAAGCATCAGTTCTTTGGTACTCAGCCTTCTTTAAGGTCCAACTATCACATCGGAAAAACCACAGCAAAGTGATGCCTCTGCTTTTTAATACGCTGTTTAGGTTTGTCAAACATACACACAAAAAGAATTCCCCACCGTGGAACATGTGTGACCTCACTTACCACAAAAATTAAAGGTACTGCCTCTGCCCTCAAGGTTAAAGACTAATTTGGGTCAAACAGTGAATACTGCTACAATTCTCAAATAAAGGAGTCTCAAAGGTAAAATTCTTAAAAAAGGAAAACCTACAAATTCCTGGGGAAACTCAGAGTATCACAAGGACAAATACATAAAATTCCCCTCCACAATTCAATGAGTCTACTCCTAGGTTTACAATACTCTAGAGTGTTTAAAATCACATAAAAAGGAGTCACACTTAGAAACTAGCAACTCAATGTAATTTCGATTAATATGAAGGTTTAAAAGGGGTCAATCACATGAGGCACTTCGAGAAGGCTCAGGAGACCGCAGAGCAAGACACAGTCACAAAGACCAACCAAAAAGAAGACAGCTCCAACAATACTGGAAACCTGCTTTTCTTTGATGATAAATGGCCTCTCCTGTTATGAGACCTGGGCAGCTTTCCTAGAGCCACCAAAAGCCAAGCCCTTGGGAAATAAAACCTTCACCAATGGTTAATGTGGGATCGTGAAAGAAGCTTCTTGATGGCTTCCAAAGAAAGGACTGGGCACCAACTAACTATGTTGAGACTGAAGCATTCATTGTGTTAGGAAAAGCAGCCATTCACCACCTGCCAGTTCTTACGTTTGCATATATTCAGAAATCCAAATATCTCCAGCACATCCGCTTCTTAGCTTTACACTTTTACACCTAAGAGCCCCTCCGTTATGGTATTCATCACAGGCTTTAAGCTGGCGTTCATAGTTGTGCAGGGTATGCACTGGTTTTCCTCTGAGCTGCCTCTGGCCCTGGAGGTCTGGGAAACCACTGGGAAGCCATCCTGAGCTGCTAAGATAAGAGCAGAGGCGTCCCCAGGCCTCTGCTTCAAGGCCCTTCCCTAAGTTAGCTCAGTATTTGGGTCTCAAGGCTACTCAAAATATAAATCCCACTTCTCTTCCCCTCGGATCTAATTCCAAAAGCCAACCGATCAAGCCTAGAATTGCAAACTGCTTTGGCTTTTTCTGCTTTGAGCTCATTTTCTTCGATCTTATACACAGAATGTGGAAATCAAGGATAATGCCTGTAACAATCATTATGGCATGGCTTGGGAGCAGTTAAAGAGATTCAAGGAATTTGTCTTAATATAACAAAATTTTATTTGAAAGTATGCAAATACACAGGCATGCACACATACACACACACATACTTTGGAGTCTCGGCTGCAAATAGACTAGAAGTCTGGCAGCTTCTGGGTTTCTACTGAAAGTCACACAGTTTTCCAGTGTCAAGGTGTGTACACACTTCCTCTGAGTTACAAAGGACAAGTATTTGGCTCACTACTTCATATTTATCTAGGTGCTTTTGTCTTGGGAGTTTGAAAGCAATTTAATTGCATTAATTAGGCTTCAAAGCAGTGCTGCAGAATCTTCTGTATTTTTCTGAAGCCAGAACAAAAGAAAGTTGTACCCTGAGACCATTTGTCAGGTCCCCGAAGCAAAATAATTTCATCTAAAATTTAAACTAAGTTAGAAAAACATTTCAAAAAGATTACAAACCCCTAAATAACTGAAAAGACATAAAAAAAGAGAATATTCAGAAATCCAAATATCTCCAGCACATCCGCTTCTTAGCTTTACAGTTTTACACCTAAGAGCCCCTCCGTTATGGTATTCATCACAGGCTTTAAGCTGGCGTTCATAGTTGTGCAGGGTGTGCACTGGTTTTCCTCTGAGCTGCCTCTGGCCCTGGAGGTCTGGGAAACCACTGGGAAGCCATCCTGAGCTGCTAAGATAAGAGCAGAGGTGTCCCCAGGCCTCTGCTTCAAGGCCCTTCCCTAAGTTAGCTCAGTATTTGGGTCTCAAGGCTACTCAAAATATAAATCCCACTTCCCTTCCCCTCGGATCTAATTCCAAAAGCCAACCGATCAAGCCTAGAATTGCAAACTGCTTTGGCTTTTTCTGCTTTGAGCTCATTTTCTTCAATCTTATACACAGAATATGGAAATCAAGGATAATGCCTGTAACAATCATAATGGCATGGCTTGGGAGCAGTTAAAGAGATTCAAGGAATTTGTCTTAATATAACAAAATTTTGTTTGAAAGTATGCAAATACACAGGCATGCACACATACACACACACATACTTTGGTGTCTTGGCTGCAAATAGACTAGAAGTCTGGCAGCTTCTGGGTTTCTACTGAAAGTCACACAGTTTTCCAGTGTCAAGGTGTGTACACACTTCCTCTGAGTTACAAAGGACAAGTATTTGGCTCACTACTTCATATTTATCTAGGTGCTTTTGTCTTGGGAGTTTGAAAGCAATTTAATTGCATTAATTAGGCTTCAAAGCAGTGCTGCAGAATCTTCTGTATTTTTCTGAAGCCAGAACAAAAGAAAGTTGTACCCTGAGACCATTTGTCAGGTCCCCGAAGCAAAATAATTTCATCTAAAATTTAAACTAAGTTAGAAAAACATTTCAAAAAGATTACAAACCCCTAAATAACTGAAAAGACATAAAAAAAGAGAAGTGAAGAGAAGAAAAATAAAAGGAAAAAAGTAAACTCTGCCCTTAGAAGTCTTATCTCCAAACACAAGGCATTTTTATTTGATACTATTGCTTACATTTTTGGAATATTCTTTAAAACAGCTATCTAAATTCCTAGATGATAACAAGATTCTTTTGAGGCTGACAGCAGGAATTCAACTTATAAACCCAATACACAACCAGAGCCACATCTGCTCTTATGTTTTAAGCATAAAAGTATTTTTAATATCTACTCTGAATGCATTATCAACTTGGCAATGGAGAGGAATACTCATAGACTCAAAGACTTCCAAAGTGAATACAATCCCAACACATGAGCTAAAAAAAAACAAAAAAAAAAGTTTTTGTTTCTTTATTTCAGTTCTTTGAATTTTATACCTTGGTTCTCAGAAATGGGCAAAATCCATAGCAAGAATAAATTAGAAAATTAATTTGCAGGGTATCTTTCTCTTGTTATGAAAAGGTTTTTTTTCCCTCCTAAAGATATAACTCACTAACAGTTCATTTCAAGCAAATTTAATGGCAACATCTTTAACCAAGTAGTCTATAACTCTGCTGCCCAGAACATAACTATAAACTTGAAAGTGAAAGTGAAGTCGCTCAGTCATGTCTGACTCTTTGTGACCCCATGGACTGTAGCCTACCAGGCTCCTCCATCCATGTCATTTTCCAGGCAAGAGTACTGGAGTGGGTTGCCATTTCCTTGAAAGGGCCCCCCCAAGTGCCAACTAGTAGCTCTTGAGCTGAGAATCATTTCAGAGCCTTCAACAGTGTGTTCTACCTCACCACCAGACTCTCATCAGTTCATCTGCTAGTCCTTGCTTACATCTAAGTTGGTCATTTTATATATGTGCGTCCCACACGGTACTTGCCAGGGAAATGCAAGGGAAAAAACTTTCCTCCTCCCATCCTCCCTTTCTGGAACTTGGCCCACTTAGAATATTGCTTCCTGATCCTTCCAATAAGCTAAAACCCCAGAGACATGTAACAATTAAAAGAAGAGACCAGAGGTGTTCATTTGGAACATGTACATCACGTATAAAATCTAATTCTTCTTTTTCATGATCGCCATATTGCTAATATTGCCCAACTAGAAATGGAAAACTGCCACATAATTTAATCTGCACAAGATTCTTACCTTTATGCAACAAGAAGAGAATAAATTAAGTTTTTATTTCTGCTTTTTTCTTCCCTAAAAGAAGTTAAAACTTTAAAGCCATTAAGAGATTTCAAGTTCACATTGAATTCCGCTGGGCTAAGAGATGCAGGAGATCATGAGTAGGCATTCACATATCCGTTACAGAGACACTCAGGCAGAATCAAATTAGGTTGTTTGGTTTTCATGGTCCCCACAGGGTTTTGTTCTGTTTAGCATCATCAGGCAAGGAACTTATTATAACTCAGCAAGTTCAGTCTATTGTCAAAATATTATTCCCCTAAGGTCTCAATACTAGCCAGGCAGCCTCCCCATCACCTTAGCCAAGTAAGACTGGGAGCCCACCCCACCTCTCTCCCCAAGTATATTCCTTTTAAGAAACCCTAGCCATGTATACTGGATGGATATGTTCTAGATGGACATCACTTGAACTGGGCAGGCCTGCACATCCTCTAACTTTGTAGATTAACACCAACAAAAAAGTAAGAATGGCATTCAATAATTAAGTATTTGCCATGTGTGCTATACAGTTATCCTCTTTTTTTCCCCAACAACCCTACAAGGTTGACACTACTGTTATCTCTAACACAGATAAGGAAATGAAGGCCCAGAGACGTTAGAAAGTTGCCCATGGTCACACAGCAAATAAGGAAAGAGCAGACCCATGGTACAGACCTAGGCCTCTGACTCCAAAGCCCTGCTCTTCCCTCTACTCTGCCTCTTGTGGCTCCTGATGTGCCCACCCATGTCCCCCTCCTGTCCTTCTTCCCCCTGCACTGGCCTCACGACCTTCAGAGTTCTGGAAGTTACCTAGGCTCTCCCCAGCTGCAGCCCAGAGCCCATGGCCCACTGGGCTACTGGGCATTCCAGCCGGATCTAGACCCCAGAACATTCCATCCTGTGTACCTTGCACGTAACAGTCTCCACAGTTCATCCAAGACTCTGGAAACTTCATCATTACGTCGCATCCTGAAAAGGACAAATAGGTTTGACCCAATCTTTTTAGAAACTGAAGCTCCAAAGGATGAAGTCAGTTCTACTACAGGTCAAGCAACTTATTTCGTGGTGATTCTTCAATTTGATCCCAGGAGGTGCATGGTTTTCCCCATTACTCTTTGGCACAGAGTTGATCTCCAATAAATGGTTGCTGATTAACTCACAGTGACCCCATTCTTTCCACCACAACTTTTTCCATTTGTAGTGATTTTCATTTCAGAAAAAAAAAAAATTTAATTCTCAAAAAATCATTTGCTCAGTTGTCATAACAAGCACCCTCCAAACTCCAGTGACTTAACCCAACAAAAGTTAAGTTCTCACTCATGCCAAGACCACAGTGGGTCCAGATGACTCCCAAGGAAGCTGTCCACCATACAGCGGCTCAGCCTCTGCACTGGCCATCAACAATGACCAATCATCATTGACCTCCATCAGCCCATTCTTCTACAGATGCTACACAGGGGTTGGAATTAACGGAGAGCGAGCACTGATGCTCACAACTGATGCTTCCACCCAGAGGTGACACTTTTATCACCCAGAGTCATTGGCCACAGAAAGCCATAGAGCCACACCTATCTTCAAGAAGGCAGAAAAATACAATCCTCTGTTTGAACAAAGGAGAAAAGAAACCAGATGTCAGGAAAGCAGGAATATCTACCACAAACACTGAAAAAAGAAAGATTTGAGAGGCAACATGATTTAAGAAGTAACAAGGTCACCCAGTTAAAAAGTGGCAGAGTCAGGACCCAGGCCCAGGTTTACTTCTCACTAAAATCTGAGTCTTTAACTAACACTTAAGTCTCAAGAGAAGTATATCCATTTCATAAGACATAATTATTTTTGCATGAACAATAAGCACTTATTGCTTGTTGGTTGACCCCACTCACCTGTCTGGAATTTGCTCAGCAGACAGCTGATGGAGGCTGGGCTTGGTCAGGAGGACTCAGATGACTTGACTCTGTTCCACAAGTCTGTCACCCTCCAGCAGGCTAGTTTGGGCATTTTTCATTGCAAAAGCAGAGGCACGAGACCAAGCAGGACCAAAGCAAGTCGTAATGCTGAGTCCAAGGTCAGGAAGTGGGGAAGGAGGGCACTGTAATATTACACAGCAAAGAAAATGAAGAATTAGTCCAAGTCTATGCACGCTCTTTCTGTAAAACTTCAGTTCAGTTCAGTCGCTCAGTCGTGGCTGACTCTTTGTGACCCCATGAACCACAGCACACCAGGCCTCCCTGACCATCACCAACTCCTGGAGCCTACCGAAACTCATGTCCATTGAGTCGGTGATGCCATCCAACCATCTCATCCTCTGTCGTCCCCTTCTCCTCCTGCCCCCAATGCCTCCCAGCATCAGGGTCTTTTCAAATGAGTCAGCTCTTCTCATCAGGTGGCCAAAGTATTGGAGTTTCAGGTTCAACATTAGTCTTTCCAATGAACACTCAGGACTGATCTCATTTCCAATGGACTGGCTGGATCTCCTTGCTTTCCAAGGGACTCTCAAGAGTCTTCGCCAACACCACAGTTCAAAAGCATCAATTCTTTGGTGCTCAGCTTTCTTTATAGTCCAACTCTCACATCCATACATGACTACTAGAAAAACCATAGCCTTGGCTAGAACTATGGTAAATATTTTTGGTTTCTTGGGCCATACTCAACTCTGTGATTGTAGTATGAAAGAAACCATACATCATAAGTAAATTGAAGGTGTGGCTGAGTTCCAATACAACTGTATTAGAAAAAGAGGCAGCAGGAAAGATTTGCTCCAAGGCTGGAGTCTGCCAACTTCTGGATTAGAGCCATCACTGCAATCTTCCACATAGGCTTCCAGTCCTAGTTCTGGAACTATCTGGTCATACGGTCTTGACAGCATCACTTTTTTTATCACCTGACAACTTTTCCATTTACAAAGTGAGGGAGGTTAGAGTAGTTCTCTAGAACTATGAAACTCTTAAATTCACAGTCCACATTATATCATCCTATAAATCAGATGCCTAACTGAAGAGATTATTCTCGATCTATTAATTGAGTACGTATCTTTTTTCTATCCTTAATATTATTGTTCACCTGCATAGGCTAAAATTCTATGATTTTACTTGCACTACAGCTGCCATGCAAAAGACACTGTGGTAAAATCTTAGCCCCATGAAAGTCAAAAAAATTTTTCCATCCACCCAAGAGGAAGTCAGTCAGATATATGGAATGAAAACAAACTGACACTTTTAATCACAAGTAGGTAGCAAATCTTTATTGATTGCAAGAATAAAAAATAAAATATTGGAGAGTCAACTCAGTGATATCAGTGAAGGTTAAAGAGAAACACAGAATTAATTGATCCACAAGGATAAGCTCTAGTGAGGGACACTATGAACAGGAAGCAGGGAAAGCAGTGTTTAACTGAAAGTTACTCTGTTTATCATCGTCTCCTTTCTTGACACCTCAACGGCATGTACTTCCACATGCTGCAACATTGCAGGAGGATGTTTTTGCTTTTTTCCCTCTATTAATCTTCACTGCCAGGCTATTGCCAGAATTACAAATAAGAATATTTATGTTAATAGCAGGCTGCTAAAGGAAAGCGCGTGTAAAATATTCTATAACTATCCATAAAATCAGGGCAACACACAGAGTTTTGCAGACATCTGACTTCTGAAGCTTCCTATCAATGATTCCCAACCGGGCGAGGGAGAAGGGGAGCCATGTTGGCAGCCTTTGGAGATATTTTTGTTGTCCCAATTGGGGAAGCATTACTGGCATCTAGCCTGCAAAGGCCACAATGATGTTAAAAATCCTACAATGTACAAGACAGACACACACGGCAAAAAAAAAAAAGATGATCCAGTCTAATGTGGGAAGCCTGGCATGTTCCAGTCCATGGGGTCGCAAAGAGTTGGACACAACTTAGTGACTGAACAGCAATGTGTTAACAGTGTCAAGGTTGAGAAATTCACTTTTCACAGACAAAAAAAAAAACCTACAGCTGAGGCTGACAGCAACTTTTCAAATCACTGGGAATTCCAAATCGTGATCATACATCCCACAAAAGCAGCGTGTATCTCGGACTAGCCCTGAGTGATCTTCTTTTGTAACCTAGCAACGCTTCGAGCCAGGTACTTGCTATCAGAAGATTCTGCAGAAGTGCTCGAGAAAAATACCTTACCAAAAGGCAGGTCACAAATTCCAAAACCTGTCTTAGAAATGATAAACGGCTCAAAATACTGAAAAAAACATTGGGACTAATATATAATTTTTAAGTATAAGAAGTGCCTTTATTACTGCATTATATAAAACAGTCTTTTTAAAATCTACTTCATCAAAAGCAGTATGGATATTTTCTATACCAAAGAACAGGGTATGTGGCAGAAGAGTTTTCACCCTGTTTGAATTATGTCCTGACAATCACATGCAACATCAGCTTTTTCTCTCCAGGCCAGGATACTAGCGTGGGTAGCCTTAAATTCCAAATCATGATCATACATCCCACAAAAGCAGCGTGTATCTCGGACTAGCCCTGAGTGATCTTCTTTTGTAACCTAGCAACGCTTCGAGCCGGGTACTTGCTATCAGAAGATTCTGCAGAAGTGCTCGAGAAAAATACCTTACCAAAAGGCAGGTCACAAATTCCAAAACCTGTCTCAGAAATGATAAACGGCTCAAAATACTGAAAAAAACATTGGGACTAATATATAATTTTTAAGTGTAAGAAGTGCCTTTATTACTGCATTATATGAAACAGTCTTTTTAAAATCTTCATCAAAAGCAGTATGGATATTTTCTATACCAAAGAACATGGTATGTGGCAGAAGAGTTTTCACCCTGTTTGAATCATGTCCTGACAATCACATGCAACATCAGCTTTTTCTCTCCAGGCCAGGATACTAGAGTGGGTAGCCTTTCCCTTCTCCAGGGGATCTTCCCAACCCAGGGATCGAACCTAAGTCTCCCGCATTGCAGGCGGATTCTTTATCAGCTGAGCCACAAGGGAAGCCCAAGAATACTGGAGTGGATAGCTTATCCCGTCTGCAGCGGACCTGCCTGACCCAGGAATCAAACCGGGGTCTCCTGCATTGCAGGCGGATTCTTTACCAACTGAACTATGAGGGAAGCCCCAAGTGTATCTCCAACAGGATATAATTTATCAGCAGGTCAAAGAGCTGCAAAATTAGTATCTGTTTAGCTAAACACATTGCATCTGTTGGCAAACCTGTCCAAATAATTTGACACTGTTGCTTCCAGTATATGTAGACAGAGACCATTTATCATATGGATTATTTGTAGGACCCACAGGCTTTTCTGCTATGCCCTGCATAGAAACATGTGTGGACTTGCACATGCTTTATGGGAATCCTTTAGAATGCTTTGCACCAGTCGGTTGTTTGCTTTTAAGTGAAGGGAGTACAGTGTTGCTTCTGCACTTGCCTTTAAGTTCTGTTTTTCCATTACATCATCCCTCCACCTTGCCCACCATTAGTGTCATTTCCACTTCACTTCATTCCTAAACAACCAAGGAAATAAATTTTCAGCAAAAGCAGGGAAGACTATTTAGGATTAAGTTCCAGGGCCTGACAGACAGTTCCTGCATATGTACCCGAGCCCCGCATTAATCCACATTAACTGCCATAGAGCTCCCTACTCCTGGCTTCAGGGGCTTCCCCAAGCAAAAGCATGTGTGATGAAGTGCAGAACTGGGGTGTCAGGTTGACCCCCGTTCAAAACCCACCTTGACCATTTTCTGGCTGTGATCTTGGGCAAGTAGCCTAACCGCTTCGATCCTCAGCCCCCTACACGAAAGCAGAGGCAAAACTGCCTGCCTCCAGGGGCTGCTATGAGGATGAGCAGAGGTCATGCTTTTATGGTAGCAAGCGCAGGGCACAGGACACAGTCCTTCATAAACATCAGGAGTCGTTATTACATCAAAGGACTCTGCAAGCTACTCCCCCAAGGTCATTTCGAGCCTGCAATTCAGACCTACCTCTCTACTCAGGGCCAAGGACAATCACATGAGGCAAACACGCTCCCCCCTCAGATTCAGTGTTCAGTGCTCCTGGTGAACTTGTGGTTGCTTCTTCCTTGGGAAAGAATTCGGAGGTGAAGCAAGAGGGTTAAGAAAGCAAGGTGAGAGTTTATTTAAGCAAGAATATTCCCCATGGTTCAGGGGTAAAGAATCCCCCTGCAAGGCAGGAGATGCAGGCTCAATCTCTGGGTGGGGAAGATCCCCTAGAGGAGGAAACGGCTACCCACTCCAGTATCCTTGCCTGGAGAATCCCATGGACAGAGGAGCCTGGTGGGCTACAGTCCATGGGGTCACAAAGAGTCAGACAGGACGGAAGCAATGGAACCCGAGAGCACACCCTCAGAGGGAGAGCCGGCAGACAGTGAGGAGCTGCTGCCCTGGGCTTCTTTGGCAAGCCGGTTATGGCAGGCATACAAATGAAGGGTGGAATAGTCACCGGGGAAGGAGGAACCCGGGGGTCACACGCCCTAATTTTCATCCCGGCTCCATTTTTGCGAGGGGAGAAGGGGATATGCGTGGGTCTTCAGTCGCTCAGTTGTGTCTGGCCCTTTGCAACCCCATGGACTGTAGTCCGCCAGGCTCCTCTCCACCTCTGTCCACCAGAAGGAAGGATTTTGTCCTTATTTAGCTTAGATCAGAAGTGTCATGGCGTTGGTACATGATGGGTACTTCTTATCTGTAAGGCTAATCTTATTGTAATGAGAGCATAATGAGCAAAGGTTACATTTGGACACAGAACATTCCCATCTTTCCTCACCTTTCTTTGTCTGCTTCCAGGACACTCATCACCCAAAACATGTGGCTTCCTGTCAATCTGGAGGTTTCTGCTTTCCTTTGTCTGTCTATAGACGCCCACTCTCTACAAGATTCATGGTTTCCTGCCACCTGGCCCCTGCCCTCGCTTCTCTGCTCATACCTAGCTACCTGCCCGCTGTGACAATGGTGTCACCAAGGAAACACACTGGCACGGGTGAAAGAGCAGGAGAACAGGCAGGGTTGCTGCGTGGTGCAGAGCCAGAATTGCAGAGATCAGAGACCAGGGAGTTCAGTGGGAAATTTCAGGGAAGTTAACACATCA